GTCAGCCGTGAGCATGCTGGCAAGAATGAAAGAGATCATTGGCCAAAGTCAGTTCGATGAAGGACTGTTCAGAGAACTATTTTTATCCAAACTGCCACAGTCAGTTCAGACTGTACTTGTGACACTTCAGGGTGTTCTCATAGATGACTTAGCTGTCTCTGCAGATAGAATTCTAGAGATAACGAAACGGCCAGTCACCGAAGTATACTCTGTTACCGAACAGACTTCGAAGAAGGATTCTGCAATGATAGAGTTAATCAACTCCGTCCAGCAGATGCTTAGGTCAAACAAGCCTAGCAATTCCTCAAACCGTCGTTCTAAATCCCCTCAACGGCTAAACGTACGTGGACGATCTAAGTCCAACACACGTTCTGTCAAAAATCCTGACTGGTGTTGGTATCACAACACCTATGGCAAGGAAGCGAAATGTTGTCGAAAACCTTGTGATTTCGGCAAAACCTCCAAGTCTGTGGGAAACTATCCCGCCGGCACGCGTTAGCGGCAACCGTCGCCGGTGGCACTAGCCGCTTACTTTACATCCATGATGTAATTAGCCAGACTAGATATCTAGTCGACACAGGCGCCGAAGTCAGCGTCCTTCCTGCTACAGCAGCAGATCGACAGAAGGATCCTAACCTCAACCTACAAGCTGCAAATGGAAAACCAATTGCAACCTATGGTCGGAAATACGTCTATCTGAACGTAGGTTTACGCAAACCTATTCAGTGGATTTTCCTAATCGCTGACGTCACAATGCCCATCATCGGCACGGACCTACTTAATCATCATGATTTGCTCGTAGACGTCCGCCGTAAACGACTAATTGACAACACTACTAGTTTGTCTATCAAAGGCATAACTTACAGTGGCCCCAGCTTGTCAATCGTTAAGATGAAAGCAATCCTCGATCCAACTTTTCAACCGATTGTTGACAAATATCCGGAACTGAATTGCCCATCTAACGATCTCCCGTGCATAACCAGCAATGTTATGCACCACATCATAACCTCAGGACAGCCCGTGACATCTAAAGCACGACGACTGGCCCCTGACAAACTGAGAATTGCCAGAAACGAATTCGATCATATGCTCACCCTTGGCATCATTCGGCCATCGAATAGTCCATGGGCATCCCCATTGCATATGGTACCGAAAAAGGATAGTAACGATTGGCGACCCACTGGTGATTACCGGCGAGTCAACGCCAAAACTACCCCCGATTGCTACCCATTGCCTCACATACACGACTTGACGGCAACGTTATCTGGAGCATCTATATTCTCCAAAATCGACTTGGTTAAAGCATATAACCAAATTCCCATGGCAACGGAAGATATTCCGAAAACGGCTATCATCACGCCTTTCGGACTTTTTGAATTCCTACGTATGCCATTCGGCCTCCGGAATGCGGCACAAACATTCCAACGCTTCATCAACGAAGTATTTCGCGGTCTCGACTTTGTATACGCATACTTAGACGACTGCCTCATTGCCAGTCCAGATAAGGAAACTCACCTTAGACACTTGGACTTGGCATTTGAAAGGTTACGCCAACATGGTGTTACCATCAATATACAGAAATGTCAAATAGGCGTTGGCTCACTCGATTTTCTGGGTCACACTATTGACTGCCAGGGTATTCGCCCACTGGCTACCAAAGTCGAAGCAATACTGAACTTTCCGGAGCCAAAGACAGTAAAATGCCTTCGCACTTTTAACGGCTTGGTAAGTTATTACCGACGTTTTATTCCTAATTGTGCTTCGCTAATTCAGCCATTAACTGATCTCCTTCGAGGGAACAACAAGGCTATCGAACTCGACACGTCTGCTCGACATGCTTTTACTCAGGTAAAGAAAGCTATTGCAGATGCCACCCTTCTTATGTATCAGGATCCAACGGCACCGTTGAGTATCTCGGTTGATGCATCAGACACTGCAATCGGCGCAGTTCTGCAACAACTAGTTAAAAACGAATGGCAACCACTCGCCTTTTTCTCGAGGCGCCTTCAAGTAGCTGAAACGAAGTACAGCACATTCGGAAGGGAACTTCTAGCTATGTACTGTGCTATACGTCATTTTCGACATTCAGTTGAGGGTCGTGAATTCATCATTTTCACTGACCACAAACCTCTGACGTACTCTCTGAACTCAACTTCAGATAAGTATTCACCCAGGGAATCGCGACAACTAGATTACGTTTCACAGTTTACATCAGATATTCGCCATGTTTCCGGAGTGAACAACACTGTGGCAGATGCCTTGTCACGTATTTGTTCTTTCACCCAAATCGATGGCATAGACCTTGTAAAACTGGCTCGTCTTCAAAAAGAAGATATTGAGCTTCAGCGTGAGTTGTCGAAAACAACTCTACTACTAGCCAAGAAACCCTTAGGTATAGGAAAGGATACTATTCTGTGTGACATTTCCACTAGTACTCCTCGCCCCATCGTGCCTAAAAGTTATCGCCGTAACGTCTTCAATACGTTGCATGGCTTATCCCATCCAGGTATTCGAACTACTGTCAAACTCGTAACTAGTAGGTTTTGTTGGCCTGGTATTAACAAAGAAGTAAGGGAATGGGCACAGACGTGTTTAGCTTGCCAAAAGTGCAAGGTAATACGACACACTAAAAGCCCCCTTGGCACTTTTCTTATCCCTGATGCCCGTTTCGAACACGTCCATATAGATTTAGTTGGCCCCCTTCCAGAATCTCATGGATACACCTATATGTTAACCTGCATCGATCGCTTCACACGATGGCCTGAAGCAGTACCCATCAAGGATATATCTGCTGAAACTGTCGCACGCGTCTTTGTAGAGAGATGGATCGCAAACTTTGGATGCCCATCTTCCATAACAACTGATCGTGGGCGGCAATTCGAAAGCGGTTTATTCTTCGCTTTGACTAAAATCCTTGGTTGCATGCGTTTTCGAACGACAGCCTACCATCCTCAAGCGAATGGTATGGTAGAACGTCTACACAGACAGTTGAAAGCTGGTTTATCAGCTGCAAATAACACCCACTGGACTGAATCCCTTCCGTTAGTTCTCCTAGGGATACGAAACGCCTTAAAAACCGATGCTGGTTGTACTACCTCTGAGCTAGTATATGGCACAACACTACGACTGCCAGGTGAGTTTGTTTCTCCCTCGAGCTTCCCACCAGTGGTAGATCACTCCTCATACGTCAGCAGGCTTACAAACGCTATGCGTTCAGTTAAACCTGCTCCCCTCCGACCACAGTCCATTGATGTTTTTGTTCACCCTTGTTTAAAAACTTCTTCACATGTATTTGTTCGTCGCGACTCGGTACGTCGTCCTCTAGAACCCCCGTATGACGGACCATATAAAGTGATTAAACGTATGGATAAATTCTTCGTTTTAGACAAAAAAGGCCGCGAAGACACCGTCAGTATCGACCGTCTGAAACCAGCTTACTTGGAAGGTAACCCCATTAGCCTGGAGCTAAACGTACCCGATAATTCACAAGTTATTGAATCTACTTCAGTCTTCGAAGAACTCCCTAGCACGGCGAAAGCCACCGAAACTTCGGTCGATAACTCTAAGAAAACGCGTTCTGGACGTCACGTTAGATTTCCAGAATACCTTCACACCTATCTCACATAACTGAGTGACACATCAATTTTTTTTATGTTGCGTCATTTAACACAAGTAAATGATATTTCTCCTATAACCGTACATAAAATTAAATTAGAGGTATATTTTTTTTCCCCGATATTTTGCACTTTACATTATTTTACTGTATAGTAGATGCATGTCATATTTTTTTGGTAAAAAACGCTTATTTGGTACATTTTTCTTGACAAGGTTCTCAGCATTCTTGTTTTCTTTTCCAGGTGCAACGGGCACTGGACAGGAAACAAACGAAGCACGGGATCCAACGAACAACATTGAGGAAGCTATGTACAGACACCCTATTAGCATAGGCAGACAGACCAGCAGGCTCTCGATCAAGCCGCTCGGAAGATTTTTTTCACCCATCAGGGAACCATCGAGATTTTTTTACTTCCGGCTGGTCATGTCTTAGGGTCCTCACAAACCCACTAGGGGGGGAGTGAGCTGTAGCGGTAAATAATTCCCCAAAATTATTAACCACAGCAATCATCACTCAACATTGGATGCTGACCACCACTGTTTAAGTCGACTTGTTTAGCTGAAGGCTTACGGTCAAGCATCCCCGCCATTTGGTGCTTCGTCGTGTCACGTGCGTGCACGATTACTAGCTAGCTAAGCATTCATTCCTACCCGCGATTTGGTCCCAAAATATATATCGTATTTGGACGACAAAATCTGGTCTTTTGCTTTACCATTTGGTACTCGAAGAACGAACACTATAGTGGTTGTTGGTATAAGATCTTGCGTTAGTATAATCCGTACAACTCGCGAACGTCGATACCTTCGTCCACTAAAATGTTATGCAATATGCACAGAGATATCATCTCGATGTTCAGATTCGGAGGAGTGACTATAGGGCTGATCTACCTATTTTTCTAGGACCCATCAGGTGAGAACATCATAAAGGCCATAGCCAAGGGGGAATCACATCTCTAACAAATACTGGGTCTCCGCCGACTCAAACTTTTGGAATCGACTGTCGGTAGAAGTGAAGTTTACGTCGTCGACAGGCTCATCCAAACAGACATTAGATAACGTCAGAGGCGAATTGAAGCCCTGTACTTCAGACAAAAGACTGCACCTAGGGCAAGAGTTTATACTGAATATTGGAATCGGCGATCACTGTTTATCTGGTCGGCATATGTACACCACCACCTATATTCACCTGTTTCATAGCACTGCTGAGAATTCTACCGACTGTTATTCGAAATCAGCAGCTGAAAACCCATCAGCGGTTAGGACTGGTCCGGGGATCGATCTCATTCTGATGCACACCTGATATCAATGGTCAGCCTGCGAAATTTGGGCTACCGATATCACATGTTGAAAATTCTATGCTTCTTCCAAAAAGTACTGTGTGGAATCAAGCTATGATCAAAAATAAAAAAATTAAAAAAATCATGAGTTAGCTTTTGTTGAATGTTGAATCGGGAAAAGACCTATCTAAATAATAAGCGGGGTTTTCTATCCTGATGCTACTTGTGGACTTCTTGTACTTGTTTATCGGAAGTATATTTCTTTTTGGAATAATATCAGCAGAGTCGCGAATTTATGTAGTGGTAAGAACAAATTAACGCTAATCTTGCTTTGTGATATTTTTCATAACGTATTAATGACTTGCACTCGAATAAAATTGAGTTAAACAGCTCGTCTAGCAATAACTGCTTGCTGACAGCAGACTGTTTTGTCAGAAAACAGACGAAAGACTCTAGTCACTTCATGGATGTAATATCTACTTGGTTGGAAGCGCCTAAGCGTTTGCTCTTTTGCAGAATTGTGGTGTAATACAACTTAATTCTCCCAAAGGATTCTACCCTATTTGCTTGATTTATTTCGTAATTGTTACGTAAAGTGTATGCATATATTTTCTTTTATTCACCTTGGTTTGAAGCGAAAAATATGCCCCAGAATGTTTGACATATTTGAAATCGATATAAATCTTTGTATTACTGTGTCTCCAGTCTCTCCGAAATACTTACTAGCAGCATATCTCAAATCTCCGGGTAAACGTCAGCATATTTGAGTGGAACTGCAAAATGTAGTCGTCAGTACATCAAAAAGAGTGGGACACACTCCTCGAAGTCCTCAGAGTTGTATTTAGAGTCGTTAGAATGTTTCTATCTCACGAAGTTTATTTCAAGACATATCCAGAGTTCTCACAGTACGTCTAAAGTTTTGCCCACACTTCCTAAAGTGTTTATTGTGTTTGAAATGTTTTACATTATACTATAAGATGGACCTGCTAACGTTTCTGAAATGAGCATTTAATTTTTCATTTACATAGGCGTTATAATGACATTTTATAAAGATGATTTTTTTCTCAAGAGTTGGTTTGTAAGGATTAAATTTATTTTTACGAGTTTGACCACGGATTGATATCAGTTAGAGAACCATTGAAACAGCTGTCCAGTACTCCCTGGTTTTCAATGGTTCTCTAACTGATATCAATCCGTGGTCAAACTAGTAAATCCAAGATTGTTATCGAGGAAATCGCAAAAGTATGTTCAAAGTTAAGAATATCGTTTTGGCGCTAGCATAGGCTCATTGGCGTCCCAGCTCACGGAGAATTAGCCAACCATGCGCTTCCTTCATATTCATTTTGTATTTTCCTTAACCGAATCAATGAAGTAATAACAAATGGTATTCTTCATACACTACCTGTGATCTCACATTTTTGTCTGCCATGAAATCATTTCTGAATTCCGGTGAAATCTGTGGCTTCTGACTACCTTGTTAATGGAAGTATCAGACAGTAACCACAGATCACATCATAAATACCTAGTTAATTTTCACAATACTGTACGTAACGATCTCAGTGGACGTCCTCTTTTGCTGTTGAAGGACCATAAATACAGCATGCTATAGCTTAGAGTCAAAGGAATACTGTCGGCCATAAAAATTTCTATGTCAGCATACACTAAAGTGCTGAACTCTTTGACAGTATTCTGATGGAACTCTGGATGACTTGTTTCCAGCTCCGTTATTCAGTTCTATCACCATTTTGTCGATGCCCTCAGCATTTCACTTGTCCATAGTTGTAGGATTTCAGTGCATACTGGAGACTTTGAATTATCTGGAACGTGTCATATTCTTGCATATCCCTTTCTATAGCTGCCACATGAGAGCATGACTGTCCCATAGGATTCCACTTATATCTGTTTAATTGTTTGTAGAAAAGTGGACGTTTTTTTGGAGATGAGTGATCCTCGTAGGCTTCTTGATGCGTCACCGGATGAAGATATGCCTTATCTGACTTCTGAAATTTAGAACTAAAGTTAAACTCTTAGTCTTCTAGAAGCCCAGATGAGTAGCCCAAAGGAGCAATTTTTCTAAGGACTTATGTTCCCATTTATTTTCTATGCATACTAAGCAAGTGGTACAATATATAGTAGCTCGACTTCTACTTGCCAATGATTGTGTAAGAAATTTTGAAAAGAATGGCATTCTTGAGAGTTAAGTAGTTGATGTTGGATTCGTCTGAGCATTAATTTATGCTTCAGAGCGATCTTATTTTCACATCCGGTATTCTGAATGATAATAAGAGATTCAGTAGGATGCAATCATATGAGGGATAGTAGTAATAGTGACATTTGGATATCAACTCAGGTTTCATTACTCACTGCCTACATAGAGATTAAAAGTAAATTGAAGCATAGCATTTAACTGATTTCATTTTTCTTGTTGTATCTGATGGCAACTTTGTAAATTGAATAAATATTATGCCTTTAGACTTCAGTAGAAATTTTGGTTATTTCAATCATTCTATAAAGTCATCTTCCATTTATTACTCTTTTTTCCTTTTCTAGCGCAATCAACCATTTGATGGACTTGTAGATAGTTTCCAAGATGCTGTCAGCGTTTTTGGACCTGAAATTTTTCACAGAGATGTATGATTTCATCAGTATTTAACTGATTCATTTCTTAAAGGGTTATCTTGTAGTCGCAAAGCCAGCTGATGCTTGTACTGATATTCAACCACCTCCATCAAACTTCAGTGGACAAGATGTCAACAGAAGTGCACCTGTCGTTTTCAATTCATATTTTGCCTTGATAAGACGTGGGAAATGTGATTTCGATTTAAAGGCATGGAATGCTCAACAGAAAGGTTACAGAGGAGTTATAGTTTACAATACAGTTGATGGAAAAATATTTCCGATGAATGGTCGAAAATGTTAGTTTATGTTGTAGTGAAGTCATTAATTATAAATTTTTTCTGTAGACGTTAACCTAATTACCATCCCATCTGTCATGGTGGATAAAAGTGCCGGGCTGAAGTTAATGCGTTATTCCGTTGATAACAATTCAAAGGAGTAAGTTATTCTACTTCAGTTCACTCTACTATATAACTACTGGCGTTTAAAAAGTTTGAAATATATTACTACTTCGCTTATCAAGGAATGTAAGGTTCATATTCTGTAGCACATGCGTAGTACAAGCTTTTCTATCCAGCTTAAGTGACGTTCTTCTGAGTTATTTTCAAACATGTGATTCCAAAGTATGTATATTGAAAAGTTTGAAGGTCCAGTGAGGGCGACAGTCCTTTACTAAACCCTTCCAGTGGTAAGTGATGGAGATATAATGAGTTTGTGTTCAGTAGGGAGGTTAAACAGTGATCCTTCGTATGTTTGGAATCACTACTCACTAAGAAGAAACAGACTTGTACTTAGCAGTCTCTGAGGTAGAATCCCAAAGGCACTACCTGCTTAACTTAGTCTCCTTTCTTGCCTGTCTAGATTCTCCCTTTACCATAAGTCTAAAGTGTTTTACTTTTATAGTAAACTAAACGTCTGTTGTTCGAATTAGACCAAGCCACAGTAGATGGGTTGCGTTGGCATAGATTGCGAAAAGGCATTGGTGTGTCATGCTATTTCTTAATTTTAGCAGTATCATATAATGGGACATCGCACATGTGGCTCAACTAGTATCCAGGGAAGCTAAGTCTCAATACTATACCTTCACCTGCTGCATGGTCATGAGAGTTGGTCAATAAAGCCTGGGTTACTAGAAATGCAAAATAAGTGGTTTCACTAGTTACGTCAAATGAAGTCATGCGAATACCCACATCTGGATCCTGCATTCATGTCACAAACACAACACACATCAATGGTGTAGGATGTTAGAGCTCTGTGCGAAGTTTTGCCACAAAGTACGGACATGAAAAACACCTATACTTAATTTGGAGTGTGGCTTCCAAAAACTAAGTATTGCTTTAGATAAACTCTAGTTGGTCAAGCAGGTAGCAAGCGATAGAGTTAATAGTAGTATAGAATTGTTAGCAGAAGCTAAATTACAGGTGAAAATTAGTTTTAGAAATCAGTGAGTAGAATAGTTAATGACCAGACTAGTCCTCAGTTTAGAAAAAAGTTTGCGAATTGTCGACTTATGTAAGCTGGCTACACTATGAAAGTCGACGTCTCTTTGTACCCGAAAGAAAGACCAAGGATTAATTTTATTTGATCGCAATAACCAGGAAATATCTGTTTGAAAGCTGATCACTCCTGGATTGTTTAATTGTTGGAAATGTCTAAAGTGAGCCGGCGTACACAGTACTTAGGACTGATGATTTCTAATCATTCCTCCTCTGAGTAGGAAAGCAACATAGCTGGCACTAATGGCGTCTAGCTTCATCGTTGTCCAACCGATCTTTCTAGTATTGTGGGGCACTCAGGAACAGTTGTTCCAACCAGCACAGTCCATTTAGTCATTATGATGTCAAGCTAAGTGGCGGTTAGTTGGGAGGAGTCGAAACTAAGATTTTATTTCTTAGTCTGCCAAACACCATATATACGTTGGTGGTCCAGTGGTAGAATGCCTAATAACCATGTGGGCGGTCTAGGTTCAATTCCCTGTCGATACACTCCTAAGTCTTGCCTGGTAGTAAGTACGGGAAAGTGGAAAGGTTCGGTGTGAGGCTAGCAACCGTAGTCTGTATTAAAACAATGCCACTGTTACTGAAGCTTGAAGCCCTATTTTCCACTGGGATCTCAAGAAATGAAAGAATGCTCATGTCTTAATGTTAAAGGACAGTTAAGGTAGTTGTATTGCTCCTTGAATCAGGTTGTTTTGTGGACGCGGCGTACAATATATGTCTCGACGTCATCTTATTCTGAAAAGAAGAAGTAGTGATTGTTAACTCAGAGAGAATCACTAACTGTATTAAGTCGTGTAGTCTCCTGAAGTTGTAGATTTCAGTCCCTAAAAATTTCGCACATAATAAGGTTTTGAAGAGGTAGGCTAACATTACTGGAAAATGATCATTAACTTTGATAAGTGTACCATTATTACCTTACATGTTTTATGACTTCTGATAATATAACCTGAATTTTCACCAAATATTTAAGTCAGCAAATTAAACGACTTATCGTTATTCTTTTTTTTGTTTTTTTGTCTTGAATACTTTTCAAGAATTTAATATTTCCCATTATTACATTAAGCATACACTATACAGCGAAGTGACTCTTTCCAACAAATGTATCATCACACTGTACTGTTGTATATAAATATGGTTTATAAGAAACTGTATTCCGTGAAGAAATTTGAAGAAGGGTGTGAATACTTAAAAAAAATAATAATGGGAAATGCGACTAAAATGTTTGTGATTGTAGATCAATGTCATATGTAGAACAGCTCATAGAATGTGTAAATCTTGGAGAGGGTTGTAAAATAATAGGATCACAAGGCAATAGAAATATTATTTAATTGAATTTTAGATTTTCCCGTCGACTGATTGGGCCGAAGTGCTCGGTCTCAGAAGAAGCCGATAACGCTTTGGCGTTTGAAACTATGGGCACTGGGTTCGAGCCTTGGTTGGAACATCATCACTCACTGGGGAATGCAGATACATCCAAATGACGAGCCCCAAATAGGACGAAATGCGCATCCTGGATTCCACTGCTAGTCACCATCCAACAATTAACCTCCAAATGAAAATATTACGTAACATAATATGAGGTTTGATAAGATAGAAAAAGATTTTTTTGATTTCAAATAGTATATGGGATAAGTGAAATAATACAGGAAACAGTTCAAAGTGAGAATAATAGTAATAACAATCGTAATATTAATGGTAAGGTACATTGATTCATTCAGTAAAACGAAAAATAAATACATGTTTATCGCCTTACTGCCAAGGTAGAAATAGGGACTATGCATACATCTTTTGTAAACAAATGTGTGGCTTGAATTGATAAATGGCCATGACCTCTGCTGTCTGTTTAGAACGAAGAAAGTGCGGTGAGTTAGCATGAATTCGTTAGATGATCTTATCATCACCGTAAGCGTTGGTAGTGGGACAGAAGTTGATGAAGTGTTTTAGAGTAGAGCTTCGCACACTCTTTCTTGCTCCCTTGTAAAACTGTGCTGGGATGTGCTCTTGTATATGTATGGAAGGCATTGTGACTACGGCCTATATACTGTGTTCTACAACAGTAGATGAACTGATGGATATACATGGAATCGGTCAGACGAAGGAGTTTATCTTTTACAGAGATGGAGAACAACTTACGGCTGCAAAGAACGTCTTACTGACTGATTTAGAGAAATGATTGTTGAGCGTATTTGAAGCCTAGTTACCTTTGAATTTCAAATTTATGAAGATGGTTGAAGTCTTTGTTGAATATTGTGTTTTCAATACGCTTATCTGTATTGAAGTATTGACAGTTTTCTTTGCAATTATTATAACCCTTCTTGGTGTTTTTTTTTTTAAAAATTTATTCAGGTTTATGATAAATATGGTCAGCTTTTATGGTCTACCGTTGAAATATGTACTTCTTGCACTACTGATTGTTGTTGGCATTTCACTGTTAATCCTTGTGATTTCATTTGTTATTCATTTGTGCCGATTTTGGCGTCGAATTAATCGTGGTCGTCTGTCACGACGACATTTACGTCGGTTGGTTATTAAACGCTTTGCCAAAGGTTAGTTTATGCATGCATATCGTATTATGTAGGTAGCCTCTAGTACCACTGGAAACTGCATTTATTGATTTATTGGTTTGAGTTTAAGTTCCCAGCTGGTCGATTTCCTCAGAATAGATGGATGTTTCAGTAGTCTATCATCACTCTGAGTTGTTACATTATCAATTCATAATTTAACACCTTAAAATAAAGTCCAATTTTTATATATATCGGCGGATGTGTATACAGTTGTATATAGTTGCATGGAAATATATACTACTGACTGATTGAAATGAGTAGTAACTGGATACTGTTCACACCAACCAGCGGCACTTGCCAGGTCCTGGGTTCGAACCCTGGAGGGGGATGCGAACTTATGAAGAGTCTCAAACTGGGACGAAACAACTATTTATGAATAGCTAATCCGGCCATCGATGAACCACATTTTCATTTCTCCTTCAATCATCACCCAGTAAGTCAAATAACACTCCGCCACCCGAATACTATCACAAATATGGGCTCATCATCAAATTATTCGGCAGCCTGGTGAAAACATTGGGTTGCCTAAATTTCCATCCGGAATAATGCATAAACTTTTCTCCATTATTTCTTATTGTTTTAATCATCTGTGTTGTTTTCGATCGCTACATGGACTCGTGCACAGTTTTAGTTTGGTGTAATGCAGAGGACTTCTTAGCAGAAATGAGGGGAAAAATGTAGAGATTTAGATATCGCTTCAGCAGATGGAACAACTCAATGTCACAGGATGTATTACCGAACACCATGTTTCTCGAAGACTCTGTACGAAGAGTAGATATTTTGCAATTTAAATATGCTGGAAATTCTGTACCATGCATTTTAAGCATATTGTCTAGAATAAAGCTGTTATTATTATTATTATTATTATCATAAGAGATTCGGTTACTGGGTCACATATTCTAATGACGCAGATATATTGATTTTTTCATCAAGTCAAGAGTCGCAAATTATTTGTGCTATACTAACTGGAGAGTTTCTATCATAGATAGAGTGAGTAACCAGCCCTACAAAGTATCTTTCAATGGTCGCACCCACACCCCCCCCCCCCACACACACAATCTAGAATTAATTAAGACAAGGGAAGGTGTGTTAGGACGGACAAACTTTTTTGTTAACCATAAAGTTGTAATTTATGCATCTACGAATATGATAACATTATTGGGCAGTTTTGATTCGTTTATTTACGGCTTAAGTTTCCAAGGTTTTTGTAAATATAAATCATCATGTATGTTATCTAACAAAACCGGTTGGGTTGTTCATTACAATAAAGGTTTTTGTATTTCCCAATGAATGAAAAACAAAACGATATTGTTTTTACTGACGTTTCGCTATTTAATGCTGCTAATAGCTTTATCAAAGTTGTATTATTAAACCAGAATTTACAAAATCTCAGCAAATATATAACAAAGTGAGAAGTCGTGACCAGTGAGGTCCAATTAGATGTCACGTGTGTGGATGATGTCCACCAACATTAATAGTTGGGGTCGCGCTAAATCACGAATCGGTAGAAGTTAAAATTCATGAGCCATTGAATCGGGTCCCAGTGGCTGAATGGTACACGAGCTTGCCTTGTAACCGGAAGGTCCTGGGTTCGAATCCCAGTGGGTGCATACTGCCGATGATTTCCAAACCAGCATGAAACAGCAGCTGTCCAGTACTCCCTGGTTTTCAATGGTTCTCTAACTGATATCAATCCGTGATCAACTCGTAAAAAGAGTTAAGTCAAAATAACAATGAAGATCACTAAACCAAATAACAAAGGTAATAGTATATCTGCTATGATATCAAAACAAAGTTTACTAACTTGATCATCTTTCGTCAGCCTGGGGTCATTTTTCGTTGTCAAGTCGGTCAATTGGTGAAGATAAAAAAACCACGTGTAGATTGTTGGATTTAATCAGTGTGTAAAATTATAAAGTCAGTGTGTGTTGACATAGTGAACTTGCTTATCACATTCGTGTTGATTTTGTCACTTCCTGGAGGAGGGAGGTGTTGTAACCAGGTCAAATTCTGTTTTAGTCCATCATTCCTGTTCACCAGGCAATTTGGATTCCATTTGATATGAAGTGCTTCTGATTGCTATGAGGCGTTCTTTGTGATTACTGAAATGTTTCTGGATGATTTCAGTATTGTCAAAATCAATTTTGTGGCCTGATTCTATAGCGTAGAGTGTAGATCTATGACTGATGATTTTTCAAGTTTTTCTAGTTCAACCGGATTTCTTGGTGGTCGAAGAGATGCTCTACAATGTTCATTTCTTCTGATTTTGATTTCTCCAGATGTTTGTCCGATGTATATCGCATCGTAAAATGTAAGATGATGCTGCAGGATTGGACTTCACCGACCCCTAGATTAGAAATAGGAAGTGAAGTGGTAGGGCACGTTGACCGCTTCACTTACTTGGGAAGTACCATTAGCCCCAACGGGTTGATCTCTGACGAAATCTCAGTACGAATACAGAGGGCTAGGTTCGCATATGCCAGTTTACGCCGTCTCTGACGTAGACGTGATATCCGACTATCAACCAGAGGGCGTGTGTACTGCTGAACAGTCCGCTCCGTCCTCCTTAATGGCTGTGAGACCTGGCCATTGAGAGTGGAGGACATGAAAAGGCCGGCTAGCTGCCTTTGATCATAGGTGTCTGCGTTCTGTCTCCCGTGTGAAGTGGTATAATAAGGTGAGCAATACTGAGGTTAGGCGTCGAGTGCTAGGTAAGGAGGGATGGGAGATCAATCGACGAGACTGTGAAATTACATAGACTGGGATGATTAGGACACGTGTTACGTATGCCTAGTCATCGCCTTTCTCGACAATGGGCAATGTTAGCTGATATTGGGTCAGGCTGGAAAAGAGCAAACCAAAACATGGCACCAGTCAATGAAGTCCACAACAGTTAGTCTAAGCCACGTAGGAAGGTGTAGACTTCCTGGTTTGGGTCCTCGGGACGGTAAAAACCAATGGTTGGAAACAATTGTTGATATGGCTCAAAACCGTTCTCAATGGCTAGCGCAGATACATCCACTCCTTGTGACTTATGATTTCCAATGCACCTATATTGTTCTTCGTTATTACTATTCCTTTGTCTCACACCTCTGTTTACTGTCTATATTATGCATTTCTCCTACTTTCTTCTCTAGCTTTGTGTGCTGCAAGGAGGGAGTGTGGTGACTTGAACTTCCGCATATATGTGCAAAGTTCTATGTCGAAAACCGACCGACCGACCGTATATCGCATCACATTCCAAGCATTATTATTGGGTTATTGCTGTTGTTATTATCGAGTTCGGGTCTTCGTGGTTTTTCCCTGTGTAACTTTTATGTCTATCTCAGTGTGGGAGATATTTTCAAGTAATTAGTGTTGGTTAGGTAGTGTCGTATCCTGGAGGTGCACTCTAGCTCAGGATCACTCCGTCTTCACAGTCACACTGTTGTCTTTTAATCAAATTAAAAGAGATTCGACTGTGTGTAACACAAGAGTGAAGGAGATAAAAATTCAACGGTCGTAGTCTGTCTTTTAAAACACCAACATTTGCTCATACACGCACACACACACTCGCATCTCTGTTCATTAGTTCAATATCTTCATTGATCCAGGCGACTAGTGGTAACGCAATCAATTCATTATTTGTCTTCGATTACTATACGTGTTCATAGTATTTGCCGTATCAAGGTTTAGCCTGAATAAAATTATACACATATATCTCATATGTTGTTAACAGTTATTAGCCGGATATATCATCAGCGCATTGTTTAATCGTTTTATATTACGGTAAAAAAATGAATAATTAGTCCTTATTACTTCAAAGTGTACAATCATCGAGAGAAAGAGAGAGAGAGAGAACTACCACCAATTGAATGTTAAACGAAGCATATCAATTAGAGAATAAAGTGGGAGCAAGTCATGCGTTATATACATTGATGTAATATTTTAAAAAAATGTTTCTTTGTTATTTTTGATGTTGTTTCGGCATCTGTAGTATGTATGAGTTGACTGATGAAAAATGTTACTTGTGATTGTTGTTCAAACTTTGGTAAATGTCAGCAGATTCTATTGAAGGTTGAATCCTTTAACCGCTGAGCACAAAGCTCTCTCTTTTCATGAATTGGTTTATTGGAATTCGATTTGTTTTACAAGTTTGATCACGGATTAATATCAGTTAGGGAACTGCTGAAAAAACCATCAAGGATTACTGGACAGGTGTTTCGTTCTAGATTGGGCCTCTTCGGCAGTACACACCCCAGCCGGAGTTCGAACCCAGGACCTTCCGATTACAAGGCAACCTCGTAGACTATTCAGCCACAGGGACATGATCTAATGGCCAACCCGTGAATTCTAACTTTTGTCAGCATGAAGTTCTAGTGAGAAATCATGACCAATGGAGTGTGGGGGGGGGTTCACCAGGTTGGTCGTGAGGCAGATACTCGCCAATGACATTGGCTGGTGGTCGCGCTAGAATCACGAATTGGTACAAGTTAAGATTTATGGGCTGGTCACTGGGTCAAGTCTCAGTGGCAGCAGAATGGTCTATGAACTTGCCCCGTAACTGGAAGGTTTTGGGTGAGTACTGCTTAAGAGTCTTTATAATTTTGCAATCGTTGAATTTACTGCATTCCATGTAGCACACAAAGGTAGACATAAGAAAGAAAAAGAAATTTGAAAGGACTATAATGAGCAGAAATATACAGGAGAAAGAATGATAACATTGAAAAACAATTGAATTTCGCGGATCTACGAAATTACAAAGAGTGAATGCATTTCCGCTCTTGAGAAGTTTCCAGCCATCTAGTTCTTAGCATTTCGAGGATCCCAACCTAGCAGTCTGCACCTCCCTACGTGGATGGCTCAAATCATCTGAGAAAAAGAATTCATGGAATGATGTCATTTTTTAGTTTGACTGTTTGAGCCACATAGGGAGGAGGTGTAGACTGCCTGGTTAGGGTCCTGAGGATTCTAAGAACCAAATGGCCAGAGAAAATTTATGATGTAGTTCAAAATGGTCGTTCTCCATAGCGCAGATGCATTCACCCTTTGTGATCTGCTATATCCATTAAACCCTATTGTCTTTCCATGTTACTATTGTTGTGTGTGTGTGTGTGTGCATGTCGACTTGAACGGCTCCACTTCTGTGCAAAGTTCTATGTTGAAACCAGCGAGTCAGTTGGTTTGACTACCCGTAACTGTTTTTCAGTCCGAGAAAGGCAATTCCACGGCATGTGCAACACATCATCTCCTGGCCATCTCAGTCGATTCACCTTTACAACCTCATCAATCAATTAACTTTCCATCCTTACCTAACACTCTGTGCCTAACCTCAATATTACTCATCCTACTGTACCGACTAACACGGGAGATGGAACGTAGGCATCTGTGAGCAAAGACAGCTAACCTCCCACTTTCAGTGATTATATCTTACAGCCATAAGGGAGGATGAAGCGAGCGAGCTAACTGGTATAGCTGAATATCACATCTACCCCAAAGATGAAACACGGATGTTATGTATCCGTAGTGAGATTTTGTCAGCAATCGAACGGCCAGAGACGACGTAAATTCCCAATATATATCATATGAAAAACATGCTTATTTTGTTCCATATTAGTTTGTTTATTAGATGTATCACACAGTCAGTGAAACAGTATTATTTACTGTATGACGTTTCGAACAAAATTTATTGTTCATTTATTTATTGTTCTAAATCATCAGTAGTAATTCCATACAAGGAAGGAACCTCGGAAACCTTACGCAGAATTCTTAACAAGGCTGGAATAAAAATGGCCCGCATTCAAACCCACAAACTCAATTAGAAACAAGCTTTGTCGGTTAAATGATCAATCCTGTGGAGCCTTTAAAAACAAAACAATTTAATTTATCTAATACCCTGTCTGCAATGATTGTCAGGTTAAATACATAGGTCAAAGTAGTAGAACAAGGGGCAGTCAGACTAGCCGAGCATAAAAACCTAGCAGCAAAATCTAGATTAGTTGACCCGAATAAGATAAGAAATCTAGAGAATAGTTCAGCTATAGCACTCACTACATGCAGTTACACACAACCATACAATAGGCTGGGATAGGACGACAGTTTTAAAATTTAATGTAACAGTATTGTGGAGGGAGAGATTGATAACAGAAGCTTTGTTTATCGAATCAACTGGAAACACATGTAATAGGAATGATTCAACACCTGTCCACCCAGATATCTGGAAAATTCTACTACCCCAACGACGACAAATAGGAGAGAACAAAGAAAACTATAAAACTCAAGTTTCGAAGTCGTGTGATTATAACTGACGATATGATTATGAACAACAAATTTTGTTCGAAACTGTGTCATCCAGTAAATAATACTGTTTCACTGACTGTGTGATATATCTAATAAACAAACTAATATATGGAATTACTTACTACCACCACAGTGCCCAAGTTTTACACATATATTTAAACATGCTTATTTTGTGTTTTCAATTATTTCATTTTACTCTCTATCAATGGTGTAATCAGGTTTGGATCCATATGATGTATGCTCAATTTGCTTGGAAGATTATGCTGAACGTGATAAACTACGCTTATTGCCTTGTCAACATGGTAAGTATAGAGTATAAATGTGTTGATTATGATAAATTAATTATATATGTGTCTACCCTCATGTTATACGTGCTACTGATGGATTTATATATATGCGCATATATATATATATACTGTACTTGTTCTTTTTGTGTTCTGTTGTGTTTTGTTTCTCCTTCAAAACATGAATTTTGCACGACAGAATAACAATCAATGTATACAACACGTAAATGTTGTTTAATTCAAAAATTAAACTGTTTGAGTGTAGATAAGTTTATAGGTAGTTTATATGTGGTAGACATTCAGTAATCGAAATTAAATAGTGTACTTAAATGCATAACTTTTTCATCTGCTTATTTTAATTTATTATATAACTGAAGATATGGCTCATTAACTCAAACACTGACTCAACTCACACCTCTTCACTCACAACTCTCCCCTTGCATCTCATCAGGTAAAACCAGAAGCCAATATAGAAAACTATATGCTCGCACCAGCAAGTACAAAAACTCAACCATACCCTACTTAGCTCGTGTTCTGTGTGATAAAGAAAGCATTAGGCGTGACACCTATAATTCATTAAATAGTCAGTAGTACAACTGGATCTCGTCTTTCCAACTCACATCATCAATAGGTACAGCATTTTCTTTCTTTCTTTTCCTTTTCTCTCTCTTCTTTTTTCGTTATGTGCTGCTTTGTTTCTTTCTCTCGCTTACGCCAGTTAATAAGATAGCTCCCACTTTTCTAACACCTTCAAACACTGTTTCAGCTTTACCTTTGCTACTGACATGCCAATGTATTGTTGTAATAATGAACTGTGGTTTCCTCAATCTATGTAGAATTCTATTTATTGATAATGTACTAACTGGATGCAATACTGTAGTAAAAAATGCTGAGAATTCCATTCTGTATCACATGTACTGTTTTGGAATAAAGCAAATTATTATTATTATTAAAACTTCTAGCTAATTGGTGCTGGGTTCGAGTCCCGCACCACCATCCACCTGTTTCAGTCAACCCCGCATACAACTAGAAGCGTGTGACTCTTAGCCTGGTACATAAAAATAAGATTTGTCTGGGATAATTGAGTTTAAATAATCATGAGCTGACATTGGAAAACCTGGGAGTACTGGACAGCTGTTTCGTCCTAGTTTAGGACTCTTCAGTAGTACGCACCCACCGGGGTTCGAACCCAGGACCTTCTGGGTTTTCCAATGGTTCTCTAACCAATGTCAGCTCATGATCAAATCAACCAAATCCCTACAAACCAATACTTGAATAATCAATAATTGTCTAATTCTTTGATTCGACACTAGACAGTAAGTATGTGTCTAGTTCCTGGTGTTGGTGGAGACTAAATTCTGTCAGTGAAGTTTTGCAATATGGTCACACCATGCTAGTAGACGGTGGTTCGCTATCATGGTGCACTTTAAGTCGTTGTTATTATTAGATGGTTGGAGGCAGTCAGAAGGAAGCTGTGGAGAGCTAGGTTTTGGGCTCGTTTGCACTCGCCAGCAAGGTATCTCTGCAATCTTGAAGGAACTCATGTCTGCACCGAACAAAGGATTAGATGCATGACACTAGTCACTAACCGGTGTTCAATCAAAATATCTAATACGATCCTACAGAAGGTCAGTTGCATAAACACGAGTAGCTCAGGGGTTACTTCTCTGACTGCAGCACTGGTTGACATGGGTTTGATTCTCAAGGGGGACATGAGTTCCTTTAAGATTGTGGACACTCCTTGCCTACCGGTGAGTGCCAACTAGCACGAATCCTATATCCAAAGCTTCCTGCCGATTGCCTCCAATCATCTAATAGGAACATGATTGGTGATAGTAGGCAGACAGTCTTCTCTTACTCCTGCCCTCACTTCAAAGGCTTCGCTAAGGTTTCCTTTGTGGATCACTGAATATCGGGTAAATTAAGGGAAGTAATGGAGAATTATGAATTTATAGGCTCGAACATCAATCAGGTCAGGGTAGTAATAGTGACTGGACTTGTTTCTTTTGCACACAGAGTACTCCGATTGTTTTAGTCGAATAGAAACGGTCACTGTTGTTTGGAGTGTTCAGTATTTAGAAGCTTTTGGTATTTGATTCGATATTTGACAGATAATAAAAAAAGACTCTTCATTTCTTCTAGATTTCTGGCCTATTAGGACGCGGTGATCTAATATTGAACTGTAGGTGCTTGTTTTAGCATCACCTTTTTTAAGCCACATTAATAGGTGTTCCTGAGCACGGAAACATTTAGGTCCTAATACAACGGCCAGTATAAATGTCTTCAGAGGAGCAGTTGAATTGATAGCTACAATTAGAAGAGGCTAGCCTAGGTGGGTACTTTGTCTTTCAGTTTCAGAATCAAAACCAGTTGTATAAAAATACGAGCTACAATTGACGGGCATTAAAAGTTCTTTGAGTCGGTCTCCTCAATTGGTTGGTAGAATATATGAATCAGTGAATTAGTGTAAGAGAAGTGGTTGATTTATGCCAGCAGTAAGTCTCAACTTCCTTATGTATAGTAAGTCAGGCGAAAGATGACTGATTCATCCTCTTCTCTACCACAGTGTTTAATAAGTTGTCCACTCTAAAAGTGCAACTTTTAAAATAGTTATTAACGTCTTCTTTGTACTATTGACAAAAAACTGTTGCTTGATGTTTGTGTGTATCTGTATGTGTGTATATTTGTATTATTGCCTTTAAAAGCTCTTAATTAGCAGTTCAGTGAGACAGCTTCACCTTCGTGTACTGTTGTCGAATTCCTTCTTTGTATCTAAAAGACAATTGGAGTTAGTTACCGGACTTTCATGTCGGCTTTTTCCATACCATTCAGTGCTTACTATCTGTCATTATGCTTAGATGAAGCAAGGTTGTGTGGTACCTTGGGATGCAGCATAGTAGGTATATTAGGTTGGTATCTGTTGGTGCATCCCAACTTCTGATAGACCATATAGAACTCTGTCGTCTGAGTCAGCGGAAGAATAGAAATCTATACCGAATATGCTGAAGTTTCCTTCTTCGTTGTTCTTCTTCTGAAAGTTATACAATGTAGTGAATAGTCTTTTAAATGTACTCGACATTCTGTTTTGTTGTCCTGCATCTGTCTTGTTTCTCTTGTCTTTATATTATTTTTTACTGAGATACATTCATTAGTCGAAATATAAAAGAACTAGTTTATTGTAACAGTTATTATTATTCTCTAAGGTTCCCAGTGGGACGTAGGGCTTCAGCAGCAGTCCTCTTCAACTGGCCCTACGATTGCCCATAGCCTCTCATTTTCTCTTCAGACGATCTCCTCTATGTCACTCTGGGACCAATGCCCAAATAGTCGTTTCCCATTTGGGTTCCTCTCGAGGGACTGTGTGGCGTGTGATTCAATCAACGGGTTTCTTCAGCTTGTGTCACATCCACATTCCTTTTCTTTAGAATATTATTTGAGCAACAGATCCTTAATTGGCTTATTCCTAGAGTTTCTTGTTGCTAATTCTTTCTGGCCAGCCTTCTGATCTTGAGTATGGAACCAACGAAGTGGGAAGCTGTTGATAAAAGTCTGCTTTAGCCTGTTGAAAATGCTTTTTTTGGCGCACCAAGTTTTTGAATCATATAGATGGACTGACTTAACATTGGTGTTGAAAATCCGAATTTTGGTTCTTTATCCTGTAGAGTGCAAAAGATTTCCAAATTGATTCCAGATTGAAGAAGATTTGTCTCCTTTTTTGATATCTTCATCTGTGCCACCTGTAGTTGAAACAGTGCTGCTTAGATAAGTGAAGTTAGTGACCTATTTCAAATTTCTCCCATTGACAGTGATTGGTGCTTGTTGTTGTTGGTTGGTTGGTTATCTTCACTTCCATCTTCTCTATGTTCACTTGAAGTCTTGTCTTCGCTGATTGTCTCTTCTAGCTTGTGTGACACTAGACATAAATCCATTGTAACAGTTAAGGCTAAGTAATCTATCGGTATAGCAACTGTCTGTTGGTATTTCCATTCCATCATTAGATATGAGTTTTTCCTCAGTTTTAGCATGTAACAGATACACACAATAGTACTCCCTGGTTTTCAGTAGTCCACTTACTGATGTCCGTTTGTCACTGACTGACTGACTGTCTGACTAGTTTCAACTTTGAAGCAGCTTGCACCTTCCACACTCTATGTAGCATACACAAAGGAAGACTTAAACTAACTGTCAACAATTTCATGGAGTGATTCCAGGTTTTGGTTTAACCACCCCTTACTCCTTTCCAACCAGACCCTGTGTCATCTAACATTGCTAGATAAGGGAAATAGTAGTGTAGCATGCCACAATACGTTTCCTAGCTATCTCAATCGATTCTATTTTGCAACCTCATCAATCAACTTTCCTTCATTACGTAACACTCTACGCCTAACCATCTAACACGGGAGATAAAACTCAGACACGTATGATCAAAGGCAGCTAGCGTTTTCATATCTGCCAATTTCAGTGGATATATCTCATGGCCATAAAGGAGGTTGGAGTGAACTAGTGAGCAGTACACACTTCCTTTAATTGGTAGGTGGATATCACGTCTACTCCAGAGGTGACACATAAGTTGACAAATGCTACACGAGCCTTTTGCTTCCATGGTGAGATTTTGTCAGCAATCAACCCGTTGAGGCTGATGTGACTTCCCAAATAATTGAAGTGGTCAATGTGGTCTACCACTTCACTTCCGATGTAGTCCAGTCCTGCAGTATAATCTTACATTTGACTGGAGGAAATCGCAAGCGAAACAATCGAAGATTGTCGCTCAGCTCAACGTGTTGAGAAGACTGTGCATTTTGTCAGCGTCTTCACCTAGGAGGGAGGACAATATCATCCGCATATTCTAAATCAATAAGACTATTCCCAGGTATCTAGTTAATTGCTAAGTCACTAAAGTCAATTAGGGCCAATTCTGTTAGTACATCTCTGATGAAATTCAACAGACAGGGGACATCATCCCCCCCCCCCCTGAAGGACAACACTCGTTATCATCACTTCAGATAACAATTCTCAAT